AAGGTCCTCAGTAATGGGCCCTCCACTCCAAACGACCCGAGTCTCCGCAGCAGGTACAGCCTGCTCTGCCCTTTCCTGTTGAGGGCTTCTGAATTATGAGTCCAGTCCAGTTTGTTGTTCAGATGAACACCAAGGTACCTGTAGCTGTCTTGGATGTTCAGTGATTGCCGTGGAGGATGCTTGCGCCTGCGGAAGTCTACCACCAGCTCCTTGGTTTTACTGGCATTGATCTGGAGGTAGTTTTGCTGGCACAAGTCCACAAAGTCCTGAGTCAGTCCTCTGTACTCCTTGTCGTCGCCATCAGTGATGAGGCTGACTATTGCAGAGTCATCAGAGAACTTCTGCAGGAATGTTTATTATTATCATCAATGGCCACTTCTCTTAACCAAGATATAGGTGAATATATTATATATAGAGTCATTTTTTCTCAGTCCTGGGGTTGTAACACAACAACCTCCTCAGTCCATAATCACAGAGTGTCTATTTGACACAACAACAAACAACAAACAACCATGATAATTGGCCAGCGAGACAGCACAGCAGTAAGGCAGCACAGCAGCGAAGCGTCTGACAGAAGAACGATCAATAGTCTTTTTAAGGCTACTGCAGATGGAGATATTCCCCGCTATGTGAGCTCGTAGCCCCTCCCACTAGGATGTACTACCCCAGTCGACTGTCGTAAAGCAGCCACCAATCAATAACAATTAAAAGTGAAGTGAAATCACTGAAGAACATTTTATAACCGAACACCCAATATAGATATATGCATATATACTGAATATCACACAATATCAGATAACCAAATTAACACTGGGTTACATCAGCATTAAAAATGTCTAAATAAATTTGCATCACAGGTGAGCTCTGGTGTGGAGGGATATCTACCATGAACAACTTGAACGCAGTAAAGGTGATGCAGTGGGGAAGTGTGCTGTAGTTTGCTGATTGAGAATAGCTTTACTGTATATGCTGTATTGAAACTGTCGAATCGCAATCCCACCATTCACCGACAGCAGTGTGGTTAAGGAGAGTCAGTTTCTGTTCAAGCATTGCACCTGCATTCTCTTTAATGACCAGCAGAGGGCGACTCGTGGTTGTAAAAAGACCTCTGAAGTGTATGGGAAGCGGTTCCCTCATTTACTTTGTAAATGGTGATAATTAAAAGAGTCAGAGTTTAAGATTAGTCAGGATTAAACAAAATAATGTGAAAAAGCTTTAAGCATTTACTAAGCACTTAAGCATTCACTCTGAGCTCTATGTAGGAAGCAGCTTCTTTATTCAAACCATGGTGAGGGCAGAGCAGCAGATTACAGAAGACATCAAACTGTAAACATGCTGAGCTCCTCCATTCTGCTTCCTCTGCTGTCTGACAGGCCCAAACAGGATTCTACACAACCTTTAAGAACAAAACACATTTCAGCTTTTCATCTTCAGTTTATCCGTAAAGATCATTAACTCTCAGCTCCTGATGAAGGGTTTATTTTATGTTCTGTAAGTCAACAAATTATTAATCTCCAGCTTGAGAATTGCTTATTTGTGTCTTTAACACAGAAAATGGTAAATGGTCTGTATTTATATAGC